TCTGGGCAAGCAACAAAAACATCTATATGCTTGTGGTTATTGCAAAAGAAAATCAGAATGAAATTACAATATTAGTTGGAAAAAAACACCATTTAGATTTTTGGCAAAATAGTTCAGCCCTTATATCTATTCAATATTCCCTGGTTGATACGTAGGTTGATTATGGAGAACTTGTTTCTGTCAACTGTATGTCTGTACAGATTATCAATTGGACCTAAAGTTGGACTTTTACTCAGCCAATTATTCACATCAATGCACTAAATACTCTAAACCAGTCAGTTATAATTCCAGCTGCATTTAAAGTTCCATCCTGCAGGAAGGTGACTCTCTGACAGATTTTATATCCATGGTCTCCCTTCCATTAGTTCCATCAATCTTCTTATTAACCTTAACTAACTTCCATGTTTCAGTTAAGGAAATTGGCCGAATATTTATTAATTTTCCCTAGCAACATTATACAATAGGTTATTTCGCTACACTTCAGGGGCACTTTGAATGAGTACCTAAGAAGAGAAATGATATGCTCTGTCGGCTTAAATGCACTGTTGAATGAGAGTCAATTGGTAGAAGTGTTGTTTTAATAATTAAAATTGAATTATTAATAATTAAAATTCATAGTTCATTTAATAATTCATATTACATGTAGCCATGTACATTAAATAAAACTGAAAAACATTGATAATACTTTATATACTTTAAAATTGATAAATATATTATTTATGACTTTTTCCCTCCACATCTAGGGTGGGCAGCACCCGAGTGCCCTGTATAGGCCAGCCCCCGACGGTCCTGTCACACCTTGCAGATTTAGACAGTGTATGCCCAACTTCCCAGAGTGGGCGTTTACATAGAGTATTCATAACCAGTCCAGAACTTATATCCAACGACAGCCTAACTCATGCATAACCCTAGCTGCTGTTTACCGCAAAAAAAAATAAATAAAAAAAAGACAGAATTTAGCGTCATGTCTGCTAGGAAGATTGTTGGTCTTGGCCATGGGCGTGAACGCAGGAAGGATCCTCACACTCACCTTCACGCTCATCCTATGATGTGGATGAAATCCAGAGGAGTACAGACGGTTTCCTCCTGGGAACCCCCGCTGCCAATACGTCATTATACAGTAGCTGTACGTTTGAAACACGTTCAGTGTTCGTCTGGAACACGTCAAATACGTTGATATGTATTGGAGATAAGTTATTGATAAGTTACGCATCAGTTATGCCATGTTACTGGTTACTAGACGCCACGACTTATGAGTAATTTACACTTAACTTATGTCAATGATCAGATAACTTACCTATGACTTACTGTATGCCCCACATATGGCATATGCTGACATATGTTGGGTGCGTACCTGCTGCATGTTGACGTGTGCCAGCGTGTTTCAGCATATTTCAGCGTACTCATTACTCAAAAATGAAATGGACCCATAACATAAAATGGACCCATAACTTATCCAATATATGCCAGCATTTTTGCCAGAATTTTCGTAAGTCAGGCATACGCTGGTCTAAATCGTCAAGGTGTGACAGGCGCTTTAGATCAATAAAATTTGATTGTTTTCTCACTTTTTTTTGTCTCATCTGATTGGTCCATAGATTTGGTCCCATATGGGCGCGTGGCCTCATGGTGTGTGGAAAACTTTTAATGGGACAAATAGCTTTCTTTCAACACTGGTTTTCTTCTTGCCACTCTTCCGTAGAGGCCAGACATTGTGATTAGTAGCTGTCCTACTTAAGTGTGTCCTCCAATTTAAAGTTCTTCAAGATATAGTTCCAGACTTATCTGCTGCCTTGTCTTCTTAATGCTTTTCGTTCATTTATATACTGTGATTACATTACACACAGGTAGACTTCTCTAATTGATAAGAGGAGTTCTGCATGCATTAGGCTTCAGTGGATTTATATTTTGCCAGAGTACAGCAGAGCGGAATAGAAATACAGAGTTTCAGAGGCTTCATGGAGTCATCAATCAAAGCTGTATAAAAGACAAAACATGAGCCTGTCTCAATATTTATGGGTAGTCATAATGTTATGGATTATTAGTGTACGCCTCCTCCGTGAAGTCCTCAAACCCGCCTATAGACATGTCTACCCTGATTCGCCCTGTCTTGCCTTCTCCCCTGAAGCGTGACAGAAATAGGTGTGCTGTTGGACCACAATGGGACGCTTTTTATTAAAGGGTGAACCAACACATCCACACAAACACAACAAAAAAAAAAAACTGTGACACACAACTAGTGATCAGGAGTGCATTAAAGGATGTACAGTAATGCCATTGTTGGAATATCCAAGCATTACTTGAGGAAATGTCAGTGCTGACAGATGAAAAGCATAGGGGTGCTTTTACACAAAGACTTGCATAGATAGTGAGTGAGAATGAAGAAGCATACATTTTTTTTTTTTTTTTACTTTGTTCTAGCATCAGCTCTGTCAGTTGCCAGCCCTTGTTAATGATTCTTTTGCATTACATGGAACCATATCCAGTTTTACTTGTTTTAAATAGTCTGTGCTGCAAGTGAAAACACTGTTCTATATTGCTGCTCAGTCATGTTTTATCCATTATGGCTACTGTGGGAATCAGCCCACATGCTCACTGCTTTGTTATATTAGATTTTCTTTTGCATTTCTGCATCACCAGGATCTTGGCTTGCTGAACACATCATAATTTACAGTTTCATGGACCACCAGTCGTATGCTCTTGAGCTTTCACTTAATATAAAGAAAGGTAGGTGCTACCACCAGGGATTCTCTGACCTCTGAGGGTTCAGAGCACGATTCAACCTATTTTATTTTAATTGCCATTAAGCATGGTTGTTGTGCAGTTACTTACCGTTGTAACATCAACATTTAATAAATGTTAGCACAGCATGTCTTGGTAACATGCATAAATATTTCATTGTTATTAACAAAGAGAAAGATGACTCTGTGTTTGGACAAAGCACAGTGTCGCACTATAGGCATAAAGTAGTCACACGATCCGCTCATAAAATTCAGCTAAAGCTTTTTAGATGTCAGAAAAATAAAAGAGGCAATCTGCAGCCGATTTAGAAACTCATGATGGATGGCTTCTTTTCTAAAAAAAAAAAAAAAATGTTTCCTTTAGATATCAAGCTTACTATGTGTTTCCAAGCACAATGGTTCTTTTCTCTGTCTAAAAAACAGCTGCTACTCTGAGAATGCAGCTCAAGACTAGGACTGCTAACAGTAAACAAAAGCTCTAGATAGGTGGCCATTGCAAATATTAAAGTGAATACAGTACAAGGATGGTGAATGAATCTCAGGAACCCTTTTTTACCTGGGCATCTTTGTAGCAGAGAATCTCAATGGATATCTTTCCTGGTAAAATAAAAATTAGATACAATAAAAATTGTATATTTTTTTGCAGCAGCGTCTGTGTCAAATACCTACAAAAATCAATGGGCTCTCAAAGTCAAAAACTGCACCCTTTGTAACAGTATAAATGATTAAAATACTGTATATGTCTTTGAGATCCTTGTGCAAATACCTCTTCTATAGACTATATCCCATTTTTTCAAAATTTCTTATATTGCAATCAAAAGCTCAAATTTATTTTTAGGGGATTTTCAGTAACAAAAAGATGAAACTAGATGAATGTAAACTCCTGTGTATTGTCCCTGTGGAAGAAGAACATACCCAAAGCATGATGCCACCGCTATTTTCCACAGGGCTAATTTCCCACTACTCATCGCATTTTGATTGTTAGCCAAACAGTTCACCTAAAAAAAGGATGTTCTTCCAGATGCTTGCTCTGTCTGTTATACAAGGGGATTTCTTATGGTATTCTTTTAACAACAGTTCTCTTCCTCTAACTCCTATGCAAAGCTCATATTTGTGGGGTCTGCAAGATTTTCCTGCCAGAGCTCTAAATCTCTGCCGATCCTTCAGAGTAGCTATAAATTTTCTAGTGCTGCAAATGATGAACATATAGTCTTTGTGAGATTTTCAAAGTTGCAGCATTCTTTGAATTCTACTCTGCTTAAAACTTTTGCACAATGATCCCTGAAATGTGTGTTTTGTTACCTGGTTTTCTCTATACTATTTTTCTAGCTAATTATACCTTTGTAGAACTGGTTTATTCTGACACTAAACTATAGTGTGGAGGTTTCAAAGTGCTTGGTCACATTAGAATAAACTGGTTTGAAGCTTGATATATGCCAAACCTTTTAGATTTTCAATTGTAAAAGATTTAGAAACCTTCCCATTTTCCTAAGGCCTGTCACATAAAATCTCATTAAAATACACTAAACTCTGTCGTTATTCATTGATCTCATGGAAAACTTCAAACGGGATGAATATTTTCTAAGATACTGTCGATATTCTGTACTTTTGCTAAAGCTGGAATAAATCTGTTTTCATTTGTTCAAAAGGTTTAATAGACCATCTTTTATGAACCATCTCTATCCAGCATGCTCTTTCTTAAAAAGGAGGAAAAGATCTACAGTATAGGTGAGATTCCAGCTTTGCTCTTTTTCGCTGGGCCTTTACACAAACGTAAAAAGTTCCATAGAGCTGCCGGAACTTTCCCATTCCTCTTGGAGCAAATGCAAACTCACCACCTCACCAAATGGAAGCAGCTGTTATCAAAACTCTTTCATCTGCTACAGTGATTTGCTAAAATCTGTAACACACACATACAGACACCACATCCTACTCAGCTACCCTGTTAGGTTGTAATCTGCACTCTAAGGAGGTTTTTTTAAAGACCTAAATTTGATAAGTTAGTGCTCTTTTGTGAAAAACTCTGATGAATGAAGAACTTTACACCAAATTTAAGGGTTGCTTATTGCCAAGTATATTTCTCCATTCCACAGAATAATGGGCCAGGACCAGTTGTTTTCCATGCGTGTTACTATCCTTACATGCCTGTTTGCAAGCTCTCCGACAGATCTCTCAATTGGCAAGAGAACAGTCACAACAACAACAACAACGCCAGCGCATCTGCGCCACTCCACTCGTTGCTCTGGATTCAGTACTCACTGCTTTGGACGTTAACGGTGCCAGTGGAGTTGTCCTTCCCCAGAGGGTTCTCCACCACACAAGTGTAATTCCCAGAATCCCCCGGTTTCGCTTTCTTGATCAGGACTTTGGAGGATTTCCTGTGGGTGACAACACTCACACAGCTGAGTCAGGGGAATCAGTACAGAGGAAAAAACAAAACAAATAATGGAAACGAACAAGTGGGAACATGGAGAGACAAAGAGGCAGACAACAGGCCAAGTACCATCATGGTATAAACTCATCTCTGATAAATCAGAGCGTCTTAATTGCCTTGCATATTTCTTTTCTGCTTAACCTACTTATATTGCTACAATCAACAAAGGCTTTCATTTCATTGACAATATAAGCTTTTATTTGGGGTATTTTCTCCTCAAAAGTGAGTCTGTTTGACTTTAGCTCACTGTCAGCCACATTGTCAATAAAGCAAAATTACAGGATTTAAACTTGATGAAAAGATGTCTTTCTTTCTTTCTTTCTTTCTTTCTTTCTTTCTTTCTTTCTTTCTTTCTTTCTTTCTTTCTTTCTTTCTTTCTTTCTTTCTTTCTTTCTATATACTAACTGCTTTAAGCTTTTTATCTTAGTTATATAAACTACTAAAAAGATGCTGACAATAGCAAAATTGCATAGGCTTGACACCAATGTGGTGAAATTCTCCAAAGGCTATCTAAACTAAAAATTCTGCTTTCACTCTGACTTCGACTCACTGTAAAACCTCTTTAAATGGATAATTCAGGATTTTTATAAGTAAGGCTGTGTTTCAAAGCTAAAGAGTCCACCAAGTAATATTCTTCTGGTAGTGAATAACTGACTTGCTTTGTGTCCTTCACTTTATATAACGGCATTTAATTGAGTATAGAGCATTAAGATAACACCTTGTCAAGAAAAACAACATCCGAAAAATGCTATAAACTTTGCTAAATTTGAAAGACCTCAAAACAAGCCTGCATGGTGTATCACCATAAAATTGTGGTATTTCCTTGGTCTAAAAAAAACCTAAAACTGACAGATTAAACATTTTTGGCTTCTATGTTTCTTTTAATTTTAAACTGGTTGTGTTTGGGTTATAGGGACAATTCACATTGTACTTACTTGTTGCGGGGGGTTTTAATTTTTTTTTTTTCAAGCTCGCTGCCATCTTTGAACCATCTGTAGGAAGGGTCAGGGTTGCCTGTGGCCTCACACTTCACCGTAAGCCTGCTTCCCTCACTCACGATTATCGGATTCTTGATTGGTTTTAACTTTGGAGCAGCAGCTACTGTAAGAGGGAATAAGGAGAAAGAAGCAAACAAAATAAAGTCAGTGTTAATGCACAATCACTAAATAAGAAGCAAACCTGTTTTTGGCCTATGCTTCACGGTGTTCTACAGGAGGGAAAAGGGAGGAGAAACGGGAGCTGAGCCAATAAGCCCTCTTAATAGAGCGAGCCAACTGCTCTCTCAGGTGACCTCCAGATGTGGTCACTGGAGACATCATCAACTTTGCCTTGGACTAATAAACATGCTCATATTCACTCTGGCTTTGCTGCTACAAAAACACCTGCGGCAGTTTTTAACAAACATCCACCAGCTGAGGAAGAAAATGCGAAACCACAACAATCAAGCCCAATTAAAGTCAATCTGGAAATAAGAAAAGTTACGATACTGTAAAACTAGCTTGCTGTGTTTGCGAGGGGAATAAGAAAACATATTAAATCATAATACTTAAACTGTGCTTTCATTCTGTGACACCCACATTTATATACATACTCTACTCTGTGAATCATAGATAGATAAAAAGAACACACATTTAGTAGAAAGAAAAATGTCTACTGAAAGCTACAAACATATTTAGAAGAAGCAAGAAAAGGGGTGAGTAGGGGTCAGCCAGCGGATGGCTAAAACACACATCCTCCATTGCCTCCACTAACCATGAGTAGGATTCATGATTTCATGCACAATCTACACTGAGCTGTCCTGTAAATTACAGCAGCTCGCTGTTACCTCCAGAGGACGACACATGAATGAAGATGAACAAAGCATGACAGGCGAAGTGAAGTTCATACAGGTAATGACTCCAACTGGGCTCTGAAATAGCATTGCACCAAATGTATCCCCTCTTGTCCTATTTTTTTTAGGAGACTGTCCTACTTCACTGACCTATTAAAAAGAAGACATGTCTGCACAGACCAAAGTAAAATCCAGTGATGATGCAGTTTTTAAGACTTTTGCTGGATTTAGGTTGACAGTTGTGATGGATTTGGGGTTATGTTCAGCTATCATTGACAGAGGTATTCAGACACTTCTTTCCTCTGTCAGAGAGGGTTTTAAACTCATAAGTGAGTTATGACAAAATAGCCATTATGATAATCTTCTCCAGAATTTTAAGGGATCATTGTTTGAGAAGAGGTCACATACCTGTGAGATCTTTACAAATGTTGGGAACTCTTAGCATGATGAGCTATGTGCCTTCCAAAAGTATTCATCTGAATATTTCTGCATGTTATAACCACAAAAAAGCTAAACTACATATGTTAGGTTACATACCAACACAAAGTTGAAGAAATTACAGCTGCAGTTCAATAGGGGTATGTCTCTAATAGCTTAGAGGGGGAATTAAGCTTATTTATGGTGAAATCAGAAAAGGAGGTCATCCCTAAGCATAATTTCTTCATATAACCTGAGAACTGACTTTTTTCCTTAAAACTGACAACAGTTTTCCTAATATCTCAGAACTAACAAAATTTTCTTAAGGACTGACAAATATTTTCCTTAGAAATAACATTGTGTTTCCTTTTACCTGAGAGCTAACAATGTTTCGCCTAAGAATTAACAACTGTTTTCCGGAATACTGAGGATGTCCTAAAATGCAGTCATTTTGTTTCCAGATTAGTATTACCACAGCAGGCAAGGCCACCATATTTAATGAGGTAATGTTCACCTTGATAAGCAGGATTTATGTTACACAATATTTTACATGCAAACCAAATATTTCAGTTTTGATCTTATCAGTCTTGTTTTAAAAGACTAATAAAGAGGATTATTTAGTTGTGAAATAAAAGGAAAAAATCACCCATTTAAATTCCAAAATAAATATTTGAAAAGTGGAGCACTTTTATTCTAGCTTTGTAAAACTCGGTTTCCCTACAATTGCAAGTGCATGTTCTTTTGGGTTTGGTTTTTCTGTATTAGCTCAATCCATCTCAGTCCAACCTTAACTAGCTTCCCTGTCTCTTCCAAGGAAAACCATTCCCATAGAATGAAGCAACCACAAGCTGATTTTACTATGTAGGCGGTGTGTTCATGGTGATGTACAGTGTTACGTTTCCGCCACACCTAGCATTTACTGAATGCATTTCCTATCACCATTTCTGAAGGTAACTGGCTCTGCTAGATTTTATTTAACAGCATCACAGTAAAATAACATTATTGGACACATCATTATCTTTAAAATTGTATATTATTCTATTTCCGCTTCTAAACTACTATCTGTTTTGTGTCGGTCACAATAGTAATTACCTCACATTATGTGGTTATACCAAAAATTCAGATGTATAGAAGTTACAGAAGAACAAACTTTTGCAAAGATGTGAATAAGTTTCTAATTATGTCTCATATCTCCAATTTAAAACTGATATTCATGAGAGATAATCTCTTGCTTGTAGTACCAGGAAACACAACCACATTATCCCTGTCAATGCAAATAACATGGTCATCTAATATATACCCCAGCCAAATTTGAAAATTCATATATATTAGATTTTAAAATGCGAAGCAGCGTGAGTATATCTACACAAACCTCATATTTTCCTCAGCATAAAACATCCTTTTTAAAATAGATTTTGCAAAGCAAATGACAAAAGGTAATTCCAAAATAGCTCAGAGATCTATTGAAACATCACCATTTTTAGATCTATGACTGTCACTTTGCTGCTAAAATTATCCTGTTTTCATTTAGAGAAGGATCTTTTATCTGCGAAGAGCATGCAGCTGGAGAACCTGGCTGATATTTGCAGCATTGGGAAAACAAAGACAAACAATCTAACGAGGCAGGGAAAAGACAAGATGTACTTTTGTAATGTAACACTTTGAAACTTTAATGAGCTTTTGGTCTCAAGATAGATATTGGTAGCGTAATTGCTTGAGGAATTGCTTGAAGTTTTTCAGGTCCCAAGAGCCTGGATATATAAAATTCCGATTTATTCAGCACAGCATAACTGCAGGTCTGTTAAAAGTCATAACACTATAAAGGCCGGACATATACGACATATTGCCATTTGACATCGACTCTGCAAGTGCTTCGGGTTTATTAATAGCCAGAAGCAAGGACTAATACTGAGCCATAAACATTTTCTGCTGTTTAACAATTTAATGCTCTAAAGGAGTTGATGTTAAACAGTGCTCAGTGTTCTGTGGTCTTCCCTGCTGACCTGCCTAATTTTCACATTGCTCCTACTAAAGGAATTTCCCATCACTATATTAGTTGTACTGTAAAGGCTGTGTAATAGTATCTGCAAGTGTCTAGTGTTTGGTGAACACTATCAGACAGTGTCACGGACTTTCTTTTGGGTGTAATCAGAAAATGATTACCTTCTGCTTCTCTACCGATTTAAAACATACAAAGCAGAACATTCTTCATGCTTGTGTGAACCTATAGTCCAAAGTCAAAGGAACTGAACTTCTGCTTATGATTACTACTTGCACTTAACTCTGGCAGACTAAGGCTGTGCACACTGCCTGAGGAAAGCCTTGTCAGTCATAGTCTGAGAGATATAAGACTGAGGTTGCACCACCTATACAAAACAACGTAATAGTTAACAAAGATTTGTCCTTGGCTAAAGAAGTAAGACAAACACATGATTCTACTTCTCATCAGGCCAATGCGCCACATGTACAGGAGTGTCTGCTTCATCTGTTGATTTTTTAGATATTCATCGGTATCATTAAACCATGGAAAGGTTGGCCTATTTGTATATATAAAGCAAATAAGACAATTTTTCTTTTTCTAAGTAAAGGTTGGGGAAGTTAGTTGTAACAATTCTCTTAAAAATAGTAAAAAGATATTTTTAGAATTTGTAGAAAAGTGAATAAACCCTAATACTAAACAAATGATGAAGGATAAAGAAGAAATCAGACATTATTATCTCCGCCAAGGAGGTTATGATTTTAGGAGTTTGTGTTTGTACAGTACGTCTTTCTGTCTGTGTAAAGGATAACTTGAAAGGTCATGGACAAATATGAACACATTTTTTATCAGAAGAGTTCCTCATGCAAATGAACAATCCATTAAAATGTTTTTGATGCTCCAGATCATCGTCTGGATACAGGATTTTTTTTTTTACATTGTGATGCAGGGATATTTGGCAACCCCGCCTCTTGCCCGTAGACAGCTGGAGATAGGCACCAGCACCCCTCGCGACCCGGCTTGGGATTAAGCGTGTCAGAAAATGGATGGATGGATATTTGGCAGAACAAGCAATTCCACACTATACCAGAGGGTGGCAGCAGTGACTATTGAGTTCCTCAGCATCACACTCAAAAAGTCCAGAAATATTTTACTGCAGACAAAAACACAACAAAATTGAGTTTGGTTTGTTTGCAGGATCAATAGAAAAGTATGAACGGATTTTATGGAAATGTTTTACCAGAGGTGCACCCCATGCCAAGGATGAATTAATTTAAATTTGGTAATGATCCAGATTATGTGGGAGTTTTAGCTCTAGGTTTAAGACCCAATTTGCTGCTTAGCGGAGGTTTGCGCTGTTCAAGTGCTATTATAGTTGCAATTCATTTGGTCAGTTTTACTGAACTTAACCAGGAAATACTGATGACCATTACCTGATCTAAAACATCTTTGCAAGATAGCCTAAGGGCTTCTTTCATGCTATTTCCTGTCTTGCAGTGCAAAATAGATACTACTAAAGAATACATGTTATGCAGCTCCACTCAAACACATTTTATGAAACATCGAGTCATGTGAGGTTTTTCATATATGACTGACCAAGTTGATTTCAGCTTTCTCCTACTGTGAATTGTACATGTGTAATTAGGAACAAGGGTGTGGGTGGGGGTGTTCTACCCAATAGAGAAAGTGTGTTTTATTTTTGGCAGGAGGGTTCCTCTCTTCATGAATTTCTTTATTCATCTTTAATAGGATTAACAGACCAATCTTGACATTTCAAACCTGTATAGCTAACTAGCTTAGCTATTTGACATAGTCTTGTAGAATGATGACATCACTGAAATGCAAAACATATACATAACAGTGTGACAAGGATGT